ATCTTGTCAGAAGGGAAAAACAAGCCAGAGATAGTAGACTATTAGTTGGCTGACTGCCACTGGTAGATAACGGTGGATAATCTTGGTCGAGCCCAGGATATGATACCCCTTGTGGTAGGTAGTCACGAGACTGATCAGATCCTGCTCCAGAAAGATACTGCGGTGACGTCCATGAATATTATTATTATGCCGGAAACTAAAAAATTCGTTTTCCCGGCTAGGCTGGTCGGAGGTAAGATGGCAGAGTAGAAGCAGGTGCTAAAAAAAAAATTCTAACTGTTAAAGATATTCATGCACGGGGGGATGCTTCCACTCCATCTGGCCCCGGACCTGGTGCACGTGGAAAAACCAGAACCGAAACTGATTAATACAGGTGACCCGTTGGAGGAGCCACTGCTTTCCGGGGGCAAGCAATGCCTGATTATATGAGTCTTGGAGGAAGTTAAACCCTGTCTAGCTCTCAGTCATATTATCGCGAAACTGATCCAGATGAAGGAGGGGAACTGCGGCTTTTCAGGACTGGCTCTCTCTCTTTCTCTCCTCCTTCAGCAGGAGGAGGGCGCCCAGGGCCTGCCCGGCCAGCCGGATCTGAAGTTGGACAAAATTGCGGAAGGCGCCCATGCCCAGCTCCAGCCCTTGATAGTAGAAGATCTGCTGGTTATTATTCCAGTAGACCTGATCTAGGCTGGTGATCATATTCCGCATCTTTTTGCCAAAGGCGCGCAGTCGTGTGATTTAGACGAAAAAAAAACGGGTACTATAGAGCATAAATCGCTCGCGCATCTTATTCAGGGCCTTAGATGCGTGGAGAATCTCTCCCTGGATGGCTGCCTGCACTGCCTGTTGAATCACCAGTAGCTGAGCAATCTTAATCAAGGCAGAGAGGAAACTGATGTAAGAGCAAGCATCCCGGAAGACCTGCTTTTCTGCATCCATCCCTAAAACAGCTAAGAATCCCACTAGGATGCTGTCAAAGAGATCTCCAGTAAACTGATGGTTCAGAAAGGCGATAGAAAACTGGAGGCATATCTGGTCTAGCTCAGCCTGTATCTCGTTCTTTTTATCTTCTTTCTTTCTATTCTCTTTCTCCTTCTTCTTCTTCTTCTTCTTTTTCTCTTCTAACCTCTGCAAGGCCTGGGCGCGGCTCACCATGCGATCGAGCTATGCGGATTAAAGCCGGGTTAAACAGTGAGCCAGGCGAGTAGACTGGTCGGGTGCGGTGGACCGATATGCGAAGCAGATTAGCCGCTGTTAGATCCGGATATAACGCTGATAAATAATGTTCTGAAGGTCCATTAGTAGCGGACGATTCCAGACGCGGGTGCGGACAAAAATGCTATTAATCCGCATCAAATCAAATTCATTGACCTTTCTTTTTCGGATGCACTGGCAGGTCTGGCGGACCAGACGAGATATATTATCTGCAAGATAATCCAGCAGCGGCTTAGTAATAGAATCTGGAAAAACACCCAGCTGAACGACTGCAGGGAAGCTTTGCCCCTGGACATAACGCGTCTACTGAATCAGATCTAATTAGGGGCAAATCTCGGTGATACTCTGACGAATAGGGATAGTGTTACATGTATTCTATGTTGTTGTTCGACAGGCCTGGATGTCAGATATCATCTGGATGTGGGTGAATTCCGCCTCGCGAAGTAGAGAAACCTGGCGGGGCCCTGCGAGTAAAATAATAATAAAAAAATTGCTGCCTGCTTGAGAAGGAAAGAAGTGTTGACAACTGACCGACAGAGGGGAAGTAAGGAAGTCTCGAGTTGTATAACGCTTTCTTTTTGAAAATTATTGTTGAAAATCATGCGTCTTATTCTGATACTTAAAGAATGTCTTTTGTGACCGGACCACATAAAGACAATGGGAGCAGCGATAGCTCTGATGGATAGGGAGCCCTAGAATCGGCGCACTGTCGGGAGGTGGAATAGGGTAGGGCTTGCCGGAGGCAAAATCCCAGGATAATCACTTGAGCATCTGGACACCGATATCCTAGCGGAGAGCCCTAGTGACAGCGGAGGGATGCTTAGAATGACGAAAAACCAAGTGAGCCGGGGCATGGGCTGACAGCACGGCAAATCCACAGGGGGTGCAGATTCACAGCCGATAAGCATCACAATAGGTAAAGAGATCCATGGAAGATAGATCGGTGGATAGATTGGTTCGTAGAGAGGCTGGCCAGTTGGTGGATAGGAATAGAGAGAGGGAGAAGGACGTACAGGAGGGGAGAAGGTAATCGCTGTTGATGGATTTGCCTCATCGCGTCTCTACGCGTTAAACACATGCGTGTAGAGGGGTTTCAAATTTCAAGATATGACCTGTCTCTTTTAGTTTGGGCGGACGAGAGAGTGATGGAGGCACGCACCCTGGGAGACGGGACAACGCACAGAGGACGAATCAGGAGGGGGGAAAAGGAAGTGCAGGTCGGGTGCGGGACGGCCTACGTGGTACAGGGTTCAAATTACTATAGTTGATATTAATATAGTTTCTTAGTATGATATGGTCAACTACATCAACGCATGTCTGATGGTGCGACCTGAACATGCTGCACATGACTTGTAATTACAGTAGCACCCGGCTCATCCCAGGCCTTTCTAAGTTATAAATCCGGCTTTTTACTGCATTGCTATCAACGATAGAAAGATATCAAAGCCTAGATTATTGCTGTTCCTATGAACTAACACCTAGGGAATCATCTAGATAGACTCACACAGTAGAGAGAACAAACTCTGGCCAGCATATTTAAAGCGGGGAGAAATACGATTCGGAATGCAGGGGCATACACATGGGCTGCCCTGTTGTACCAGAAGTTGCGCGGGCGCGATAGTGTCTGTGGAGTAAAGGGTTGTGATGCCATTTCTGAGCGTCAATTGCGTGATGGAAGTTTCGTGCACTTGCCTACTGTGAAAGACCCTTCAGAATATGACTAACGTTTTGGACATCTCTAGGTGATCATACGCCTGCTGCAGAATAAAAGGGACCATGAATCAGAGCCTCCGACGCAATCGAAGTGGGTTGGAAACCTGCCTAATCTTAAATGAATTGGTGGAAGTCAGTATTGATTAATCTGTTAAACCCATCGCTTTGACAGCAGAGGCAGGCGCTTTCGACCTCCCATATCTTCATGTTACTTTGAAGCACCGTTCACATTATGCATCCTCAATGTAATAGATTACCCAAGTCGCTCCTGTCTGGCGCCGATAAAGGACGGACCTCGTCGTGATTCTTAAAAGTGCTGGTCCACATGAAATCGTTTCTTTAAATTCCCCTCGGGGTTGAGCCCGTCCAGCTTCAAGCCCGGCCTGTTGGATCCTTGTTTTCCAATGACTGGTTAAGCAGGCCTGATTGGGAAATCCATACATGATGTAATTATGTTATACTGAAGTGTACATGGCTATTCGTGACCATAAGTACCAGGTTTGGTTTCTCATGGAGTCTTCGCAGGAGATACAGAAACTTTATTATCCTCAGTTATCAAGGTTTGTGAGCCGTCAAGCAGCTCGCCATTTGCTGTCTCGATAGTTTGCCTTCCAATATCCACTCTTGCTTTTTCTATCAACGCGAAATCAGTTTTAGTAGCGTAGACAATAAAGCAAACATCGCTCCCGATAGCTATTAGCTCGCTCAAAGCGTCAGGGCCAGAAAGACAGCATATAAACAGAGAGTCTTAGCATACCAACATAAGCCATTTTTTAACATTGACTGCGTACTCAAAAACGTCGCATCTTTAAGGTACTTTATTGGTGTGGAGGACCGTTCATGACCACCGGGCATGTCCCAAACATATAAGGTCAAGTTGTAAGGGTGGGTGGTTTATTTCATCCAGAGAGATGATATTGAAGTGGTCCATCAAGAAGGCAAAAACTTCAATCACAAAATATTCGCGTCTTTCTCATTGCGTTGTCGGGCGTTATCCAGTGGTAGGCTTTCAGTGACAAATTGAAGAACGCCGATTCAATAGTGGTATTGGGTTTAATAAAAGGTATATGTTAAAGTGAGTCTCTGTTCTTTCCGATTCCTGCATTCCCCAGCAGAGCTATCTTGAGATATGCGTGGGCTGTCATTCTTTATTGCATTTTGTTGTTGGCATCGGTGCTACGTTGGGGTCTGTCTATAAGACTGGCGCTGGTCAGCCTGATATGTTAAGTAAACTACTAATATTGCAAATTTAGCCGCTTTAGGCAGCACGGCCACATTGCCTGAGAGGTAATTGCCGATTGTTTCTCTTCGTTAAAGTGAATTGAGCCAGAGAACACTATTCAGGTTGCAAACGATCCAGTCTTCTGTGTGTGGCGTATTATCGAGAAATAGCCACGGGTTTCAGAACATGTAATGAAAGTCTAGGTGGAGTAATATTGCAAGACTTAAGCAACGGCGAATAGGCCATCCATTCTTTTTAATCCGCCTTCCGTCTATAGCGTGTAACCTGTGAACCGTCACTCAGTTCGACTGCAATTGGGCGTAATCTATACCCAAACAGTGTTGGCAGCAGAATGAAAGGCACAAAGTAATAGATAAAGCCTAAGCCAAGGATGCCAAGCGCCACAACTGGTGAGAGCCAGTATGGAAGGCCTGACGTCTCACTCTCTCCGTGAGGAGGTATAAAGGGCATGATAACCAGAAAGATGCTGCCGGCCAAATAGAACAGGATAACCGCCCATGGGGTCCTAAATATTGGCCGATCATCCTCCGGGGACTTGGAGCAACGCAGCTTGATCAGACCGATTGTTGTAGCAGTCAATAGCACCGTTGTGGGATACGATGATAGTTTCACAACAAAGTTGAAAGCGTCCCCGGCTGGAGGCGCGCAGGTGAATAGAATCGTTACCCCAAGATGTATCATGAGCGCCACGATCGGTGTTCGGAAGGGTCGGTTTTGCATAACGAGCGTTGGAAAGGGGGCAATCCCATCCTTGCCCAGCTCTTGAATGACACGGGCTAACATGCTATGTTAGGGTCGAGACGAATGAAAAGCGAGGGTCAAAGACTCAGAGCTACTTACGAACGGTGAAGGCGATTCCCAGAAGGTGTCCCAGGGCAGATATAGCTACCAAAGCCGGTAGTGCTTTGACCGCCGCAGATTGGCCAAATACATTTGAAAACAAGTTGGCGGCAATTGTGACTTCGCTGTGGAGAAACTCGTCTCTTGGTACTGCTGCAAACTAAGGCGAAGGGTATGAGAGAGTGCAGATGAAACCGGGGTAATGTAGAGACTCACGTATGCAATGTTGGCAAGGATGTACAGCACCGTGATTATCCCCATTGCCGCGGGCAGGGCAATGCGAAGGGTTTTGTGGGGGTTGCGAACTTCCGATAGCACTGTGTTCACATTATCGTAACCGTGGAATGCGAATATGGCATTTAGCAAGGCTGTGCCAATGCTGTAGCCATCATTCGATGTTCCGCGAAACGAAGTCGACAGATCGAAGTTGTGTGTGTTCGGCACGTGGCCGGCCAGAGCTGCAAATCCGGTACAAACAATGAACAGCAAGATGACCAGTTTGACCAGACTAAGTAGGTCTTGCAAAGTCTTGCCGCCTCGAGGCCACACCGTGTGAATGCCCACCGCGAATGCCGAAGCCGCGATGGCTAGACCTCGCAATCGCCAGGTGGTGCCGTCCACCCCGGCGGCTTGGAGCAGGTAGCTAGACGTGGTGATCGCATTACTTGCAGAGACCTGCAAGAAGATGCAGTAGAACAAGTATATACAGGTGACTAGGAGCTTTGGTGCAAATGCGGCCTCCAAGTACACCTTCATTCCACCTGACCTTGGCATCCGAGTACCCAGTTCCAACATCACCAGGGCCCCGCACGTCGATATGAGGCCGGCGATAACCCAGATCAGCAGGGCCATTCCCACACTGCCGCTCAATTGGAAAATGGTAGCGGGCGTGGAAAATATCCTGAAAATGCCTCGGGTCAGCTCGGTTCTCCTCGAAGCATCAGATCCACGTACCCAGCCCCGACAATCTTGTTCACCACCAGAGAAATTGCCCCGAAGACCCCGATGTTTCGGTCCTGCAGTACGTGGGACTCCTCGACCCGAAGGGAATCTTGAACCTTAAGGTCCGTGCCTGCCGTTCCAATCTCCTCCGATGTCGCTGGGCAGTCAGTTATTGGCGTGCTAGGAGGCAAAACTAATACTCACATATCTGCATACTGCTGGGCGCCATGGCTTGTTCGTGCCTTCGTGTCGAACTATGGCGGTTAGATCTTCATGGTGCTTTATAGGCCAGTACAAGAAGTATCGGGCTTGCGTAACGTATACGTGAGATCACGACATACACTGGACGCAAGATATTTCGTATTCCTGCGTCTCTAGTGACACATCGAAATTGCCATCCCCATCAAGGCCAAGATATGCAAGGTTCTGTACGCAGTACGCAGAAGATACAGGGGGCGGGTCGATAAACGCACCGAAGATTCGACCCCGTTTGGCTTCGGATGACACCTTATAGACCCACAGTGATGCTAACCGCTAGCAAATCCTGCACGCGCGCTCGACGCATGTACTCCATACGACAATAGGTAATCCGTAGTCTCGGTCGCGAGATGTATGATGGTACACTGTAAGCGTAGAACTTTTCATCTCGAGGGGCTGCTGTTAAGTTTCGGAGGACCTGGCACGAAGCACACATAATTGAACCGTGTCACGACTTTGTAAGACTGCCACTCGCTGGTAGGTGATAATAGCTTCAAACCTGGTAGCTTAACACTGAGGCCCCAACGACGGAGTCCAGGTTGCATACGGAGGTTTACCGAGATGTTTACGGGGAATAGCATTTCCTGTTTCCGTAAACGCCCGCGTTCTGACGGTGGAACCTTAGGATTTGAGTGCTCCTGGCTCAAGTTCCGAGTTATTTAATTCCCGGTGCGACCATTCATCGTCCGCGGCAGTGATTCGTACACCCCGAGAAAAAGGGAAAGAGGCGAGGAAAAATTGCTCACACAAGAGCAGTCGCGCGAGCATCCAGCACAATGGTCGATACTCAACGTGTACAGCCCGATATCCAATATCATCCAGATTACAACAAATATAAAGCACGTACCCAACGCCGACAGGAACATGAATCGCTGGCCACCAGCTTGCCCAAAGGGTTTCCGGCAGAACTGTCCTCACCCTTGGTGTGGCATGGAAAGGACATTGAAAATAGCGACGACTGGATCTATTCGCTAAGTGAGGGTCAGTTGAATGAGCTCGACTCAGCCCTGCGAGCTTTCAAAGGTGGGCAACTCTAACAGTCCTGGCCAACTAATCGGGACTGACTTTTTGCATAGCACTTAAACAGCCTCTCGGATACATCAACAACGAGACTTTTCCGCTGCCTACCCTGCGACCTATCCTGCGTGCCTTATCCAGAGACTTGCATCTTGGCCGGGGCTTTTTTGTGCTCCGTGGACTGCGCGTAGATAAATACACTCGCGAGGAGAACCTGATCATCTATGCGGGCGTATCATCGCACGTTGGCAATATCCGTGGACGTCAGGAAGACACGCGGTTCTCGAATGGAACCTCTCTCGTTCTCTCGCACATTAAAGACCTGTCCAAAACAGTCGACAGTGGCAATATCGGCGCACCATCGAACACGGCAGATAAGCAGGTATTTCACACGGATGCCGGCGATATCATCTCACTTCTATGCTTGAATCCTGCCATTAAAGGAGGGGAGAGCTATATTGCGAGCAGCTGGCACGTGTACAACATTCTTGCGCGAACCAGACCGGACTTGATCCATACGCTGTCCCAGGATTGGCCTGTCGATGGGTGAGTATGAACAATCAGAAGTTGTATTCAATATACCCTTTTCCCACTAACAGAAATATTGTTTAGGTTTGGCAATGCACAGAAGCCTTATACCAACCGACCGCTACTCTATCACCAACCCCCCACGGCGTCCGCCCCCGAGCGGATTCTGATTCAATATGCACGACGTTATTTCACCGGATTTCTCTCGCAGCCTCGATCCTCCGACATCCCACCCATCACCGAGGCGCAGGCGGAGGCGCTGGATGCCCTGCATTTTCTGGCAGAGGAGAATCGAGCGTCCTTGGATTTTCAAAAGGGCGACATTCAGTACGTCAATAATTTGAGCATCTTCCACGCCCGAAATGGGTTCACAGATGAATCAGGAAACGAGTATGTGGTTCAATTCACTTCATTATTTGGTGCTGATGCTGACCATTACATTGAAGGCGACACTTGATGAGACTGTGGCTTCGTGACACCGAGCACGCATGGCAGACACCTGAGCCCCTTCGTGCTCGATGGGACAATGTATACAAGGATGTGGTTGCAGATGAGCAGGTCTTCCCGCTTGAGCCAAGACTACGAAAGACTGTTGGATCTTGAAACCAGCTTCAATGAAGCCGAGTAAAAATGAACTGGGAAGTTGATTTGGAAGAGATCCAGCATTCTGCCCACAATTGGTCTCAGCCGCGGTTATCTGTGTTACGAGCCGCCTCTGGTGGGATAGAAAACTCTAGTCTAGACGCAATTGCAATGCAACATGTCAATTGTTCTTTTCCCCAGCAGGTTGTAAACAGACTCTCAGGCGAGATATATTTTTTGGGCGTGCTTGGTTTTGTGACACGGTTCCGACCTGTTGATAAATCAGGTCACTGCAAGGCCGAACCATCAGCCAGCTAAGCTTTGGCGTCTAGCCAGAAGTCATACCGATACCTGGAATTTTGCCACGGTCCTAAGCCACATCAATTGAACCAATTTAGCGAAAGAGTAACAGGCGTGACCAAATCGCTCGCCAGAGGAGCGCAATTCTACGATGCGACTGTTATCGATGACGTGACACTATGCAGCCCGGGGAGAGAGTGAAACCAGGGAATGACACGGTCGCGATCAAGTCGCGTCCGTCGATCGGCATCTGCTGGGCGACACCAGGTCATACGCCCGACACACTTGCAAGCACTGATAGTTGTTGATCGTTTTGGATCCAAAAAGAATCAGTGAGTGTACGTCTGACAATGCAGCCGTTTTGAGGATACTGAAGGACTAAACGAGCATAAACAGTGGAATGAGTGCCCCAACTCGAGGATTCGGCATGTGTACCGCTGGATGGAACCGAACTCAATGGGAATAGGCGACCTGGTTACTCGAACAGCCGCCAACCCGATGGGAAGGCAGAATGCGATACATCACGGAGACCTTCACTTGGCACTCCTGGATCCATGCCGACAGCTGGAAAGTATCGAAATCAGATTTGAATCACGCGTGACAGACATGGACATCGAGGACAATACGGTCACCCTAGCCGCGGGAGGGCGCGTCGCGGGAGATGTGATCGTTGCGGCGGATGGAGTCATGTCTACGCGGAAAGGGAAAATATGCACGCCTGAGGCAGCCAAGGCCCAGTGTACTGGCGAAGTCGCCTATCGATCTAGCCTTCCTCGGGATGTTCTCGAGTCGGACGAAGAACTACACGTTGGGACTGACCTTCGCGAGACATCGTTGCGTATCCCGTGCGAAATCACCAGCTGCTCAACGTTGTTCTCATGCATCTGGATAACGGGCAAGCCGAAGAGTCATGGACGTCCGTGACCGGAAAGAGTAACGTATTTCTAGACTTCCAGGGATGTGATTCAACTCTTCGCAATCTGATTGACCTGGCACCGGCTGTGGCGTCAAATTTCCGCATGTTTCTACACCCCCATCTGCAGTATGGGTGAAAGGTTTCACGGTCCTACTTGGAGACGCATACCATGCTATGCTGTGAGTGGGTGGTCTCTTGGACATTGGATGCCATGCTAATGTTATCAGCCCGTATTTGGGCCAAGGAGTAGCTCAATTGGTGGAGGACGCCACGGCTATCACCACCGGGCTCCCAACGATTGAGAGTATAGCGCAGCTGCCGCTGGCCCTGTGTGTATACGAGCAGTCTTGAAAAGAACATCAAATGGGCTATTGGGCTTTCCAAGTGAAGATCCTACGATCCCGCCCTCCTGTAACTGGGGTTCTCTTTAGCAGCCCATACGGCCACGGATCTCCTAGGCCAGATCATGCACGATCTCTGCGCGCATCCGGGATATATCGAGCCTATGTGTGAAGAGATCCGCACAGTGCTCAAGGAGGGAATGGCCAAGGCTGGACCATCTAAGTTGAAGCTAATGGACAATGTCATAAAATAAACTCGCCGCTTTGAACCAGCAGTAATGCAATGCGTATGTACAGTACACCATGCTTTCACTCTGTTGGGGCTCTCGCTGGCGGGCGGGCCGCGCGCATCTCGTCAAATCCTAGCGCACGGTACTGATGAGCCCATAGCCAGATGCGTCGTCCGCTGCTGGCAGGCGTCACTCTCTCCGACGGAACCTGCCTGCCCAAGGGCGTCCAGATCGGCATTCCAATCGAAATGCATTTCGACGAGTCATCCTACGCGGAGCCCGAGAGGTTTGACGGCGACCGATCCTAGGAAGGAGAAATTCCGTCACCTGGTTTCGACCAGCCCGGACCATCTCGAGTGTGGCCACGGCAAGCATGCTTACGAGACCAAAACTGCACCCACCCATACCGTAACGAAACACGGCTTGAGGTTACCTAGGTACCTGAGGGAACCACTGCTGTAGTGATGAAAATGGGGTTGGGGTTGAGCTCGGATTCCAACATTCAACTGTGAGTGAGGAGACAGTGTTCCTCCCTAGATGACGTGAAGCTAGATTTCTGTTCTTTGGTATCCTAGGGGAAGGAGATCAATGTCACATGAGTTTGTTGGCCATTCTGTTTCCGCATCTCACTGCGATGTTGTTGGCAATAGCTTGGATAAAAGCCACTAGGCAATCAACCAATGACTTCCTTGACTCTTCAATTGATGTATCCAGCCAGCTTGTAATGCCGCACCCGAAGGGGATTTATCTCTCAGATCCCAGGCCATTTGCATGACTTCATTCGCAGTTTGTACATACCCCCAAGGCATCGCATTCCATAACTGGTCCAGGCGATCTAGTGCCCACTGGCGATGGGTGGCATTGTTGGTTTCTGCACCAGCAATAAAAGTCGGCCAAGCCGTAGCTTTGAAAAGAGGATCTTCGGCATCCAGGAAAGAGATGTGGTTAATAATATTCCCAACTAGGCGCTCTATATCGAAGCCCAGTAAATCAAGGTCCCCCACACTCCGGCAGATGTATATTCGGATTGCATCTCGATGGGAGGAAGCTGTGTGTATACGGCGCAATGTGCGATCAGTGCGAATGCTATCGATCGATAGCACCCAAGAATCCATATCGAAGGAGTCGATTCTGCCAAGAAGAGACAAAGCCTCTTCCACAAGCGAACTGTATTGGTCAGTTCCATTGGCCAGACTGGCGAAGAACTTATTTGCTAGTTGACAGGCCCTGAACAAAATTTCAAGAAGGATTGTTGGAAAGGACAGATAGCTGGTAGGTTCACCTCGCCTCAGAGTTGCTAGAATACTAGAATTGAACTCTAGAGGGACTGGTAAAGGGTCCGAGTCGGTTAGTGTTGAGCCGAGGACGTAATATCTGATCGATATACCCGTTAGTTTAATCCGACAGGGCCTTTGAGAATGTATTGAAAAACGTACGTCAAGCAATCAGATGTAATTCGGTCGCGCATTGTGGCTAAGGGAGAAGATTGGTCGCCATGGAGTAGATTCAAGCAGCTCAGAAGTTGTAGCGCCCCCTGAAGATGCACTCTCCATCCGTCTTTGCCAGACACGAGAAGCTCAAGGTCGATAAAAAGGAGCACAACGGTTACGACGAGGTCGGTGTTTATTGTTTGAGTGCTCCGCAGTGCACATCGCAGCAGACTAACGGTCTTACCTTTTGCCGAGAGAGCATCCAGCATGGCACGATGAGAGTCGTTTGAAGAAAGACGCAATTGCTCCAAAGAACCTTTGGTCGATACTCGCTGTTGTGATTGCCTTCTGTTGGCATGTGAAACTCGGTTGTTTATACTCGCGAGGTGCATAGCTGCGTTAGCGACTAGGATATGGCGCAAGATGGGCATCTCCCCAGTTAACGGAATCAGGCTGTGAAACGGATTCTCGGTGAGAGTATCAGTCACCACCAGATCTTGGGATAGGTGATCCGCAACTGAATAGGCGTAAGCAGGTAGTGAAATCAGTATAAACTCAGAGGGATGGCGTACAGTGAACCAAGTAACGTCTGCAAGACCTGTCCATGCCCTGAAACAATGGATCGGTGAGGCACATCTGCAATGATCCTTGCGAAGCTCCGTATCCACATGAAATACTTTTGGGGGTCATCTCCGCTCCTAAGCCATTGCTTAAGATGCCCTTTTCACCTGGACAGGCGGGGACGAGGACTGGTGCTACATAAGACTTGCCCATCATCTTCCCTCGACTAGCTACCCCCTTGTTCCAGAGGAATAACTTTCCGTACCCGAGGCATTGTTCCCCTGTGATGAAGCATTTCCGACACGATGGATGGGAACGGTCGCATTTGAGTCGTTTTCTTCGGCAGTTATGGCAAGCTTTCAATGCGGACTGGGCTGGCATTGGGTATGCGCCCTGCACCAGTGATATGCATAGGTAGGGCAGGGTAGAGGTGGGAGACTACGGAGAAATTGAGGCGCAACGTTCCTTGCGGTGACGCGGAATCCGAATATCTGTTCGCGCGCTGTGAGGGCGAAGGGTCGAGAACGTGGAGAAGAAAAATTGGCGTGAACCCTTCAAATGCAAATCATGCGTCTTGGCTGCCTCGTCGGGTTTAACGCGCTGGAGCCCGAGTGGAGCCACGCAAAAAGAGGCGTCGATCCAAGATTCAACGAGAGCGAGCAAGTACTCGAAAGTAAGCAATACAATCCAGTCATGTCGGTCCATTCGGTCGATTTTATATCATCGCGGGAACATAATAGTAGTTCTCGGGTTAGTGGTGGATCAAGAGAAGCAAACAATGCAACCAAGTGCCTGTTAATCCCCACTACCATGGTTTTTTTTCGCGCTTACATTGTGCGGCTTTGTGCCTAAATAACTGAACTGCCAGGTCATTTTATATATACAAATGCCTTGAACTCGCTTCCATGTTTCAAGCTTCTAACCATTTCCCGACTATATTCGAAAGCCAACGTAGCGAGTTTCGCCATGGATCCAAATGACAAGAGGGAAGCGACTGTAGCCAGTCCAACCGAAGCGGACAGGCAGTATACAGCAGATGCAGCCACTCTAGAGCAGCTTGGGCGAGAGCGACCGGCAATTTTCACGAATCAATGGGTAGAATTAGGGTTTTGCTTCTCGCTGTTGGCTTCAATGATGCTAGCAGTATGTTAATCTCTCCAGCGAACCCGCGGCTTGAGAACACTAATACCAGCCAGGAATATTTTATCAGCGGATTCAACTCCATCCTGCCCGTCCTGGCAACGGAGTTGAACATTCCTACAGAATCAAAGACATGGCCGGCGAGCGTGTTCTCTTTGGTCACCGGGGCCTTTCTCCTACCGTTCGCTCGCCTAGCCGACATGTTTGGCGCCCACCTGGTCTTCAATTTCGGAATTCTATGGTTCATGATCTGGTCTCTTGTTGCTGGGTGGAGCCAAAACTACATGATGTTGATCTTCTGTCGTGCCCTGCAAGGACTAGGGCCTGCTGCCTACTTGCCCGCCGGTATTATGCTGTTGGGAACCATCTACCGTCCCGGTCCGCGGAAGAATATGGTCTTCAGTCTGTATGGCGCATTCTCGCCGATCGGATTCTACTCAGGTATCTGTGTCAGTGGCGTGAGTGGACACTACCTCACCTGGAGATGGTACTTCTGGATAGGAGCCATTATGCTGTTGACCATCTTCGTGGTATCGACGCTCTCTTTGCCGCCCATCAAGCTGTCAGAGCATAGCACCATGGACTGGTGGGGATGTCTCACGATCGTACCTGGCATTCTTTTAGTAGTGTACTCCGTGACCGATAGTTCACATGCGCCCAACGGTTGGAAGAGCCCCTATATCATCGTCACCTTCATCCTTGGCATCGCTCTGCTCGGTGGCGCATTTTATGTGGAAGGTTGGGTAGCTCCAGTGCCCCTCTTGCCGTTTGACTTGTTCAAAGTCAAGTCGATGACTCCGCTTTTCGTATCATTGCTCTTTACATATGGCATATTCGGGATCTACCTATTCTACGCTAGCTTCTAGTAAGTTGAGACTGAATGTCTGGTCTTGATCTATGTGCAACCTAACTAACTGGACTCTAGCATCGAAACTATTCTGGGAGAGAACTCGTTGACTACTGCCGTTTGGTTTGCTCCAATGGCCGCTGGTGGTCTCATTCTGGCCACCACGAGCGGCTTCACGTTGCATCTCTTGCCAGGCAAGCTCCTAATGATAATCGGGACTGCCGGAAATTTAGTATGCGTGCTGCTGTTCGCAATAATTCCGGATAACCCCAGCTATTGGGCATATATCTTCCCTGCTATGATCGGCGCTACCGTCGGGGTCGACATCACCTATAGCGTCAGCAACGTCTTCATCACCACAAACTTGCCCAAGCACCGACAGGGGGTTGCGGGGGCCGTAATAAATACTATTGTCTTCGTGGGAATCAGTTTTTTCTTGGGAGTGACCGATCTTGCGGTCGCTCAGACCGAGTATCTTGGTCTGAAGGGAAGTTACAAGGTTGCATTTTGGTTCGGAGTTGCCTGTGCTGGTGTCGCTTTCATCTTTCTCATGTTCGTCAAGGTTGGGAAGGCCGGGAGTGATTTAACTGTGGAAGAAAGAGAACAACTGCAAGAGTCTACCGCAGACTTGGAGAGAGGCATGTTGCGTGACTAGGCCATCAAAGGCGTTCAAAGCCAGCGCCACAAAAATATAGCATTTGTACATAATAGTTAATTGGGCGAATGGATCTAGACATTGAGAACTTTATCAGCTACAGGTCAATAATGTGACGGTCGGTGGCAGGTGCGCTTCTACCACCTTCCGCTTTTGGTTTACGCCTAGAATGGAACGTTTAACCATTAGACTACCAAAAGATTAGAATACCAAGTCAACAGACTTGGTTGCGCATCGCTCTATATAGTGGTTCTTCGTGGTCAGTCAGTTCGTCACAAATAACATGACCTTGGTTCACTCGCATAGATAGTGGGCCTACTAGCGTTGTATGTGTCTTGCATGGGGAAAATGGGACACAGGAGGGCACGACTATACATATGTGAGCGCTTATAAAGTCAAGGTTGAAGAGTTGCTGCCCATCGTTTATGATCCCTGATCCATGCGTGCCATGAATACCGGATTGGGTAACCTTACCGAGTCTTGGCATTTATGGAATCAATGTTGTCGAGTTGGAAGATTCTTCGTGTAGACTCGGTACTAATGGATTAGCATAAAGCCCTGACACTAATCATGCCTTGTTTTACTGGATTGTCTGGCTGCCGCACAGCAACGAAGGGTCCCCATTGGGTTCCCAGGAAAAGCGTGAGTAGCAAATAACGTCACTCTAGACCGAGCCAGAAGGGCAGTTGAGCCGAGGGCATTCCTCAGGCATTCATTGCCCCATTGGATTGTTGCTTGTTCATCTCTCGGCATGCAAATCTCAATCTTTTCAGGTTCATCTTGGGCGATACATTGACGTGGGCTATACTGTTAGTCATAGGAATTGAATTTAAATATTTTGAATCAATTATTGCTTCGGAGATCAAGATTGTTTGATGATTGATAAAACTTGCTTGAATATGCTTTTCAGCAGAAGAAACGATCGAAACATTAAAAGGAGATCTAAGCTCTATCAGGCTTTATCATCTGCTCGATAGCAGCTCTTTCACCACTGTGCTCGACCATTGCCCTGAAAATTCCTTCTTCCATCTTTAATAACGCGGACGGAGTATCGAATTCGGCCACTGTCCCTTGATCGAGCACCAGTATACGGTCAAAGTCAGCGATAGTCGACAACCGGTGCGCAATAACGAGCAACGTGCAGTCACGGATATCCTGTCTGATGGAACGCTGGATACGCGCATCCGACTCCATATCTACTGATGCGGTCGCTTCGTCCATGATCAGAATTTTGGGCCGCGATACAATAGCGCGCGCCAAGCAAAGGAGTTGTCGCTGGCCTTGCGAAAGATTGCGCCCGCCTTCGGCGATGGATGACGATAGAGAAAAGATGTCACTGGGGGTTCCAGAGAAGCTATCGCTTTCTTCGACGACGATCTTCTCGAGTGCTTCACGCAGCTCGCTATCATCGTATTGACTGAATGGATCCAGCACCTCACGAACCGTCCCAGCGAAAACAACGGGATCCTGTGGGATAATACCGATCCTGGAGCGGACATCGTGTAGTCGAATAGTGCCCAAATCTACCCCGTCAACCCGTACTGAACCGGATTGGGGCTCGAGGAAACGCAGTAACGCTAAAGCTAATGAGGACTTGCCCGCCCCCGTTCGACCGACGATTCCGATGCGCTCGCCTTGCTTGACCGAGAAATTAAGTCCTTTGAGAACTGGCGGAAGATCTGGGCTATAGCTAACGTGTAGATCCGTGACTTCGACTTCGCCTTTGGTAGGCCACGCGGCGGGTACGAGTGCTCCGTCTGCAGGTTCTTGTTCCAGTTGAGTGTATTCGAAAACGCGTTCAGCGGCGTTGAAGTCGAGCTCCAACTGTGCATACTCTGCCAGCAACCACGAGATATTTTGCGACATTTCCAGGGCAAAGCTAAGAGCAAAGCCCGCCAACGGGGCGTTCAGACTGCGAATTGCGACAAATGTGACGGCGACCGCAGCAACGAACTGAGAGCTAGATTAGCATTATTTAGGATTTGGGGGTGAAGAGACATACGCAGGCGCCCACCATACTGAGCCAGAAGGATCTCCACGATGCGAAAAGCCACCGGTGCCATAAGGCTTGACAATGGTCATCAATCAGATCATAAATCCGACCGACGTACTCAGCTTCTCTCCCATATGCCCGAATGGTTGCAAGTCCGGTAAGCAAAGCACCGACTTGTTCGAATATAGGCGATCGTGCTGTGCTTTCAAGTCGTTTAGATTCCCGAGCACCAGTGATATAAAGGTAGGCCACACCCCAGGATGCAAGCAGGGAGAGAAAGCCAACCCCAACGATTGTTGGAGAGCTCACGACAGCGGCGATAATAGCACCCAGTACCAGGATGCAGCTATGAAGCAGGTATGACAGATTTGACGCCAGACTCGAGTCTACGACGCCAAAGTCGGCGGTGAATCGATTCAGAATACGCCCGATCGGGGTGGTGTCTAGAAAGTGTAAGGGCGCCCGGAGAATGGTGTTGGTGAACTGTTCGAAAAGTGCTTTAGACGCTCGAATGGATCCCCAGAAGACTAACAAAGAGCGAAAAATCTCCAGGAACAAAGAAGAGAGCGATAGTGCTATATAGATGCCGAGGTAGAAAGCCAATTTGGAGTCAACGTGCAAACCGGATATCGCCACAGAGTCTGCATTTCTCACACGATTCAATGGCTCATTGATAGTGAGCATAGGAGAGACCGAGATATCGTCGTAGGCCCTGGTCCAGACAGACATCCAATAAGGAACGGCCAGATTGTCGATCAAAGTTAGAAGACAGAAGAAAATGATCAGGGCCCAGTGAAGGTAACCACCACAGGCCTTGATATACGTTCGGAAAACTCGGGACTTCACCGCGCCAGTCTCGCGTTTCTCTTCCTCGTAATATTTGTCGGGCGCTGCATTCCCAAGGGATGCATCGTCCTGGCCAGTCAGGCGGCGAGTCAGGCATGTGGCACTCGACGTGGAAAAGCGACGTTTACCGTGAGAAGGCTCCGCAGATTTCCTTGGGTTTGAAGAGCTATAATTGCCGTTCTGGTGTGGCTGCTCTGAGACAGAATCTAACACACTGGCGCTGAACGAACTGTCCGCCGTTAAGTCCTCGGGGGTGCCTGCGCTCAACATTCGTCCATCGCCCAGGACAATACAGTATGCCGTGGCTCCCCGACACAGTTGGTCATGGTGAGTAGCCAAGACTCTCGTTCTGCCGTGACAAAGGGGTCCCGTCAGTGCCTTCTCGTAGAGATGGCGACCGACATGCGAGTCGACGGCGCTGAAAATATCATCGAGCACTAGTATTTGGGCGCGACTGTAAAGCGCCCGGGCAAAAGCAAGTCGCCATTTCTGACCTCCGCTCAGATTCACACCGTTTGCTCCGATATCCGTTCGGTCGCCCTCGGAGAAAGTTTTGATATCGGGATCAAGCCCGCATGCGCTGAGCACCTCGTAGTAACGACTGGCGTTCCACGGGAGGCCGAAGAGAATGGCGTCTCGAATCGTCGAATTTTCGATCCAAGGGTCTTGAGATACATAGGCCATGCGCCCCTCGGTAATCCACGTCTCGGGAGAATCGGGATCGCTAACGGGCCCAATCTTGGGGACGGTCACGCTGCCGGCGACCACTTCAGTCTCGCCGATGATGGAATGCAACAAAAGTGTCTTTCCGGCACCGCTGCGGCCTGAGATCACCGTGAGCTTTCCAGTCGGCAGCTCACAGTCCACGTTGGTTAATTGAAACCGAGGGAGCTCCTCTTGGGATTCGTCGGACGGCCAAGCAACGGTGGCCTGTCGGAAACAAACCTTGTCTCCAGTTTGTCGATCATCCTGGCGCTCTTCCAGGGTCAGAAAGCGATCGATTCGGCGCGCGCTCACATTGGCATCCAAGAGATCTGTCACCATCTCGGGCAGAATAGCCAGCGTAGACTCCATGCTCTCAAATATGGCCATGGCTGTGAAGGCAACGGAGGCCGAGATGGTGTTGTTTAGATAGACAAAGACGGCCAACGAGATGATGCTCATGCAAATGGGACCGAAAGACCAGATGGCTACCAAGGCAATATCCAGCCTGTAGACCGACAGTTGAAGGTCCAGTTCCTTTTGGCGCAATTTCATGATTTTCCCGTGCCAGTCATTCTCCAGCGCATCAAACTTGATTTGACGGATGCCTCGGACCGCCTCGTTCAAGACTGACGACTTGCGATCCCGATGCTCCATCAGCGCCTCTTCACTGGCGCTGTATCGCTTGGTGAGAAGGTAGTACACAGGGGTCAGCAAGATGGGTATGCCACAGCCTAAAATGGTGGGCTTCCATCCCATGATCTTCGTCAGAAAGACAAGGGAAATGATCAGATCAAGCGTACAGTCCAAGGCCAAGTGGTTATACGACGCGAAGTCGGAGATGTTATCGACATCGACTCCCAGGAGGTTGAGGATAGAGTGCTTGGTTCGGGGGACCGCATCCTCGTCCTCGTTCTTGTCCTCCATACCGCTTGCGTCGGTCTCGTCGACGGCATCGAGAGAGTCGTCCTTCTTGTTGTTGCCGGGCGCCGCGACGTCTTTCAAACGCATTGCCTTGCTCGTGATGACGGCAAAGAGTTGCTCCCGGATGGGCACAGCCAGATGCATGTCCACAATCCAGTCGATGAGGGAGGTAAACCAAGAGGACAGCATCAAGACGCCCCCGAGCCCGGCGGCCGTCAGCCATAACCGCGTTTGATTGTCGGCCCCGGCGTCGCGTTTCTCGAATTCCCGCAAGAGCGTGAAGAGAGCCAGCTGCGGCAGGAACCGGCATGTCGCGGCGAGAAGCTGGACAATCACCTGGAAGATCAAGGTCGGCCAGTAGATGGCGAGACACCGTTTCCACAGCGTGCCGATGGAGCTGACGGCGGCAAACCGCTCCGCCAGCGTTCGCGCGCGCACCCAGTCGGCCACAACGGGCATGTCTTCTGCATTCAGGCGTCCATTCTTGACGGCCAGAGCCAGGGTGGAGCGCGCCCAGTCGTAGCTGTAGCGGCTG